TGTTCAAAAAACTGCATAACTGCGATGCTAAATAACTTTTCTCGACCACTTGAAATTCGAAAGCGTCTAACCACGGAAGTACATTGATATGATATCTCGTTTGAAGCAATCTGAAAGGCCGAAAATCGGCACTTCGACATGGGTGTTTCAAGGCGATACTTTTGAATCAAGCATATCGGACGCATTTATGCTTGCTACGGTACTGGAAAAGGTAAATGATGACCATGCACACTTATATCAACCCATACATGTTGGATGCGGTGTTTGTAACAAGGTGATCAGACCGGCTTACGGCGCCGCAAAATGTACGTGTGCGAATCCCCCTATGTCACTGTTTTCTCAACATCAATGGGTCATCCAATTAATTTGACCCCACTGTCAATTAATGTACACGAATTATAACACCTGACCTCACAACTTAGACAAAAGCTTTATTTAACTCGCAGCCGTACAGTGCGCGCCTATCTGTGACGGCCCTGATTATGTTTACGTAATCAATGTCAGCCACAATTCACACGTGAGTAGACAGATCGTTCTCTGGGACAAAGATAAACATTTTCCCCATTTTTAAAAACTTAATAGTCAATTTAGTAGCCACATCGTATTTTTAGTAGCCAATAAAAAATAAAAGTAGCAAATGGCTACTTTGGCTACCGACAGCTTGAGCCCTGCTTATTGGGCACCGCCCCTCTGCCCCCAGAGGAGCCACACCCTCCATTATACAAACTTGAGTCTCCTTTGTCCAAAGATGCTCTATAACAAATTTGGTCAAATTCCTTCTTTTGGTTGAGAAGAAGAAGATTTTTAAAGATTCACCTATTTCTCCCCTATTTGGCCCGCCCCTCTGCCCCCAGGGGGACCATGCCCTCTGTTTATACATAACTGAGAACCTTAGGCCAATGATGCTCCAGATCAAATTTGGTCAAAATCCTCTGAGCTGTTAAGGAAAAGTAGCGGTTTAAAGGAAAAAGTTGCCAGACGATGGATGGCGTAAGCATAAGCATGGCATAAGCTCACTTGGCCGTTCGGAATGCGGAAACGGGCAGAAATTTCTGGAATCGGCAGAAATAAGACAAAATCTTAAAGTTAATACTAGGCAAAATTGTAATGCATACTTTTTATGTAAAAAGGATTAGTTCAAGAGAGGAAGGGTTTGTACCTCTACCACCTGTGCACCCCTTTGACCATCAATGCACATATCCGAGAAACTGACTTAAACGCAAAAACTTAATGTTGATGGAGTCCTGACAAAGTCAATGGACCATGAAAGATGAAAGGAAGGCCACATCCAGCATGTGATGCATCGGTTGAGATGTACTACCTAAGATGCATCTATGGTCCAAGTTTGGTTGGTGTAGCACTTATACTTTCAGAGAAACTAACTTAAACACAAGAACTTAAAGTTGATGGAGACGCTGACAAAGTCAATGGACCATACAAGGAAGACAGCATCTAGCATTTTAAGTTAGAGAAACTAACTTAAACGCAAAACACTGAATGTGATGGAGATGCTGACAAAGCCAATGGAGTATGAAAGGTTTGTTAGTGCTATTTCTTAGGAATAACTTGAGGGATCTTTCTCTTATTTGATATGTAGGTTCCCTTTGATCTCTCATTGTGCATGTTATATTTTGAAAACTGATCACAAAAACAAAATAGCCGAAGGAAGAACTAAACAGATCTTTCTCAAACTTTCACTGTCAAAATTCAAGATGGCTGTCTGTCAGCCATTTTGTTTATATGATCATTCTCAAAATTAAACATGCACAACTACAGACCAAGGGGAACCTACATAACTAATTTGGGAAAGATCCCTCCAGTACTTCCTGAGAAATAGGGATAACAAACCTTTAATGTCACATCCAAGATGGTGGCCTGTCGGCCATTTTGTTTATCCCATCAGTCTATAACATGCACAAGTACAGACCAAGTGGAACTTACATATGAAATTTGAGAAAGATCTCTCCAGTATTTGTTCAATTATGTGCACATTGCTTGCTTAAATGTATAAAAGTGATTGTAAGCCTTTATTTTTTGTTTTCACAATTATAACCATTACTATTATCCATATGTTGTAAAGCGCTTTAGAGTAATTTACAAATTAAATTCCCTCTTTGCATATTGCAGAGTTATCTTCTCTTGTGAGCAGGTATTGATTGTTAAGTCATTGGTTTGTGTGAGAAAATTACGCCGTTTTCTCAAAAATTGATGACGTTACTCTCACAAACTAATGACGTAACAATCAATACCTGCTCACAAGAGTAGATAACTCTGCAATACGAAAAGACGGAATAGGGTGCTATATATATGTTGTATATTATTAGGGCTTTTCACCAACTGGTGAAAAGACCTATTGTTTTTGTTAAGTTTCTTATTATTCTTCTTATTATTCTTCTTCCGTACTTTGTGAATTCTGTTTCTCTTGATTGGTAAACGATAGGTTGATATTCTTTTAAGTATGTTGTAGGAAAAGGTCTAGAGCTGATCAAGCAACATTTTCAAGGTGGTCAAAAATTAAATATGGCCGCCATGACGTCATAGGTCAAAATCTTAAAATGGCCATAACTCAAAAACGGTTTAAGTTACAGAATTGACGCAATTATATTATATGTAGATTATCTAAGGGGCTAACTTTAATTACCACATGGTTTTTCATTTAAAGGTCAAATAAAAAAGCTCGCTGTTGGGTCAAAGGTCACAATTTTTAAAAAACATTCATTTTTCATTTTTTTGGAAAAATACTTCTACAGATCGATGGAGGATGTCATTCCGATGAAGTTGATGTCTTAAGTTTTTCTGAAACATTTACCGTTAAGGTTGTATGCCATTTTGAAATGTTTCCTTTGATCTTTTAAAAATTTCGCAATATTTTAAAACTTGTTTTACTCCAATATCAATGACAAATATTTCGTTTAGTTGTAACGGGAAAAGTTTCCCTAGATGTCTTCTAACATTTGGCAACACTTTCAACTCCATCCAAAAACCAAAATGGCCACCATGACGTCATAGGGTAAAATCTTAAAAACTGCTATTACTCGAAAATTATTGATTGTACAGTATTTGTGAAAGTTAATTATTTGTAGATAATTTCCATATCTAACTTTGTCTCACTACATGTTAATACAAAATATTTCTAATTAAAAAGTGCGCCCCTGGGTCGAAGTTCACCAACTATTTTAAAAACATTCTTTTTTCATTTTTTTTGAAAAATTCTTCAATAGATTGATGAAGAATGTCATTCCGATGAATTCGATGTCTTTAGTTTTTCTGTAACATTTACCGTTAACGTTGTACGCCATTTTGAAATATTTCCTTTGATCTTTTCAAATGCTGACAATATGTTAAAACTTCAACGATCTTCTTCTCCAATTCTGCCATTGCAATATTAACCACAATTGGTACATGTATTCCTCTAGGCGCCCTTACGAACTTATGTTACTTTTTGGAGCAATTATTATTCCAAGATGGCCGCGTCGAACTATGATTGGTTAACAGCCTATACCAAAATATTTCGTTAACGATATCAAGCACGAGGTTGATCTTTGGATATCAAATGGAGATAAGCAAGATCAAACTTTTTCTCTCATACTGTTTTAACAAAAAATGTCAACTTCCGGTTACCGGCAGGGGTCAAAGTTAAAATGCACTATATTGGGTACCAACCTTAAAAAATCTTATTCTCAAGTTCCACATGGTCTAGAGTCTTGATATTTGAGAATAAGAATTCTGATATGTCGGGGTATCAGGTTTGAAAAAATGGTTGACATTGATCAACTATCAAGGTCACAATCAAGGTCACAAACTTCATATGTGCTAATTAAAAATAATGACTTCAAAAAACTTCTTCTAAAGTTCTACAAGGACTACAGTCCTACTATTTGATACATTAACATGGTCAGATGATTGACTATCAAGTTTGAAAAAATTATTGACCTTGAATGACTTTCAAGGTCACAGAGGTCATATATGTAAAAATATTGAAACCACTTTTTCTGAATAACCAATAACTCCAGGGTAACGATGTTTGACAAAGAAGCATGCTTGAATGAAGGGCTTTAACGTGTGTGCAAATGAACGACCTTGACCTACTCCAAATATAATTTCAAAGGTGAAAGTCAAAAACCGTTTTCATTTTTGTGCGATTGTCAAGTGCTTTCAGTACTCTCAGTACTTTGATTTATATCAAAACATCTAATACACGCTGGTAATACTACATCGATTACTACGCACTCCCAATCTTAAAAATGTGGACAGTTTACACCTCTGTTGCAGTGGGTAAACATCAGCCTTTCCTTGGCGTGGCAAACCCAACCGATATAGACACAAAGATAGTTTCAATAAATCGTCCTGACGTACATAGTGGACGGACTATATGACGACATTTACGGACTACATTCGTAAACAACACCGCCCACGTCATTTCGCACTCCGGGAATACCCCACTTCTCAGTCAGCTACTGTAGACTTGCACAGGTTATTATTAGGAGGCCAAATCAGTCCTTACAGTGAAAAGCCCGTCAAATTGTTAGCCAACAATTTCTAGTTATTATTATTATTATTATGAGAAGAAGTAAGAAATGTCCCTGCCAAACAGATGCCAGGGCGGTTATCATGGATTTTCAGATCAGCAAGAAAAATAATAACACTTTGTCAGAACATCATAACGAATATTTGTTCCAAGTTTGAAGTCAATTGCACAAGCAGTTCTGAAGAAGAAGGACGACGTATGACAACGGACAAAGCTGGATGGCAATAGCTCTCACATGAGCAATCATGTGAGCTAAAAAGCACACATCTATGTTAACATTTTATACAACTTTTAGGTGATTAACAAATTATTAACATCTAGTCAAGTATATTTTACGCGAAATTCCCTTTCTTTTAATCAAATACAAAACTTTCCTATCATTCTAATTTCAACGTATAAATATGAAGTGCGTAAACATAGCTTGAAATTAATTACTATGCTTTCTAATGATAAACAAAAGAAATGTTCTTACATTTTGCTGATTTCAGAGTTAGAGTCACCAAGGATCTCAAACAGACCATGTAATATTTCAGGTAGGAGGACAAGCATATTAATATCTGGCACTGCATCCAACACTGCAATCTGTAATATAGACAGGATAATGTTATATCACATTTGTATATTCTAAACAGCACATCAACACAACCAGGTCACATAGGGTGAAATGATGCAGTAGACACCAGCTAGAATAAAGAACAAGGAGGGGCCAGTTCTCCTGCTAAATTTCTTTTTATATGAAACAGACAAATGGATTTCAAGAACATATTTAAATTGGTGATTATACTTACCACGGACACAATGAATTGGTGGTGATACTTACCCAGGACACAATGAATTGGTGGGGATACTTACCCCGGACACAATGAATTGGGGGTGATACTTACCACGGACACAAGGAATTGGTGGTGATACTTACCAAGGACACAATGAATTGGTGGTGATACTTACCCCGGACACAATGAATTGGTGGTGATACTTACCCCTGACACAATGAATTGGTGGTGAGACTTACCACGGACACGATGAATTGGTGGTGATACTTACCCCAGACACAATGAATTGGTGGTGATACTTACCCCGGACACAATGAATTGGCGGTGATACTTACCCCGGACACAATGAATTGGTGGTGACACTTACCCCGGACACAATGAATTGGTGGGGATACTTACCACGGACACAATTAATTGGGGGTGATACTTACCACCGACACAATTAATTGGTGGTGATACTGACCAAGGACACAATGAATTGGTGGTGATACTTCCCCCGGACACAATGAATTGGTGGTGATACTTCCCCAGGACACGATGAATTGGTGGTGATACTTACCACGGACACAAGGAATTGGTGGTGATACTTACCAAGGACACGATGAATTGGTGGTGATACTTACCTCGGACACAATGAATTGGTGGTGATACTTCCCCCGGACACAATGAATTGGTGGTGATACTTACCAAGGACACAATGAATTGGTGGTGATACTTAACATGGACACAATGAATTGGTGGTGATACTTACCACGGACACAATTAATTGGTGGTGATACTTACCACCGACACAATTAATTGGTGGTGATACTTACCAAGGACACAATGAATTGGTGGTGAGACTTACCAAGGACACGATGAATTGGTGGTGATACTTACCCAGGACACGATGAATTGGTGGTGATACTTACCAAGGACACAATGAATTGGTGGTGATACTTACCACGGACACAATGAATTGGTGGTGATACTTACCAAGGACACGATGAATTGGTGGTGATACTTACCCCGGACACAATGAATTGGTGGTGATACTTACCCCGGACACAATGAATTGGTGGTGATACTTACCCCGGACACAATGAATTGGTGGTGATACTTACCACGGACACAATGAATTGGTGGTGATACTTACCACGGACACAATTAATTGGTGGTGATACTTACCAAGGACACAATGAATTGGTGGTGATACTTAACATGGACACAATGAATTGGTGGTGATACTTACCACGGACACAATTAATTGGTGGTGATACTTACCACGGACACAATGAATTGGTGGTGATACTTACCATGGACACAATGAATTGGTGGTGATACTTACCACGGACACAATTAATTGGTGGTGATACTTACCAAGGACACAATGAATTGGTGGTGATACTTAACATGGACACAATGAATTGGTGGTGATACTTACCACGGACACAATTAATTGGTGGTGATACTTACCACGGACACAATGAATTGGTGGTGATACTTACCAAGGACACAATGAATTGGTGGTGATACTTACCACGGACACAATGAATTGGTGGTGATACTTACCAAGGACACAATGAATTGGTGGTGATACTTACCACGGACACAATGAATTGGTGGTGATACTTACCAAGGACACGATGAATTGGTGGTGATACTTACCCCGGACACAATGAATTGGTGGTGATACTTACCCCGGACACAATGAATTGGTGGTGATACTTACCACGGACACAATGAATTGGTGGTGATACTTACCACGGACACAATGAATTGGTGGTGATACTTACCAAGGACACAATGAATTGGTGGTGATACTTACCACGGACACAATGAATTGGTGGTGATACTTACCAAGGACACAATGAATTGGTGGTGATACTTACCACGGACACAATGAATTGGTGGTGATACTTACCAAGGACACAATGAATTGGTGGTGATACTTACCACGGACACAATGAATTGGTGGTGATACTTACCAAGGACACAATGAATTGGTGGTGATACTTACCACGGACACAATGAATTGGTGGTGATACTTACCAAGGACACAATGAATTGGTGGTGATACTTACCACGGACACAATGAATTGGTGGTGATACTTACCAAGGACACAATGAATTGGTGGTGATACTTACCACGGACACAATGAATTGGTGGTGATACTTACCCAGGACACGATGAATTGGTGGTGATACTTACCCCGGACACAATGAATTGGTGGTGATACTTACCACGGACACAATGAATTGGTGGTGATACTTACCCCGGACACAATGAATTGGTGGTGATACTTACCACGGACACAATGAATTGGTGGTGATACTTACCACGGACACAATTAATTGGTGGTGATACTTACCAAGGACACAATGAATTGGTGGTGATACTTAACATGGACACAATGAATTGGTGGTGATACTTACCACGGACACAATTAATTGGTGGTGATACTTACCACGGACACAATGAATTGGTGGTGATACTTACCAAGGACACAATGAATTGGTGGTGATACTTACCACGGACACAATGAATTGGTGGTGATACTTACCACGGACACAATTAATTGGTGGTGATACTTACCAAGGACACAATGAATTGGTGGTGATACTTAACATGGACACAATGAATTGGTGGTGATACTTACCACGGACACAATTAATTGGTGGTGATACTTACCACCGACACAATTAATTGGTGGTGATACTTACCAAGGACACAATGAATTGGTGGTGAGACTTACCAAGGACACGATGAATTGGTGGTGATACTTACCCCGGACACAATGAATTGGTGGTGATACTTACCCAGGACACAATGAATTGGTGGTGATACTTACCACGGACACAATTAATTGGTGGTGATACTTACCAAGGACACAATGAATTGGTGGTGATACTTAACATGGACACAATGAATTGGTGGTGATACTTACCACGGACACAATTAATTGGTGGTGATACTTACCACGGACACAATGAATTGGTGGTGATACTTACCATGGACACAATGAATTGGTGGTGATACTTACCACGGACACAATTAATTGGTGGTGATACTTACCAAGGACACAATGAATTGGTGGTGATACTTAACATGGACACAATGAATTGGTGGTGATACTTACCACGGACACAATTAATTGGTGGTGATACTTACCACCGACACAATTAATTGGTGGTGATACTTACCAAGGACACAATGAATTGGTGGTGAGACTTACCAAGGACACGATGAATTGGTGGTGATACTTACCCCGGACACAATGAATTGGTGGTGATACTTACCCCGGACACAATGAATTGGTGGTGATACTTACCACGGACACAATGAATTGGTGGTGATACTTACCACGGACACAATGAATTGGTGGTGATACTTACCAAGGACACAATGAATTGGTGGTGATACTTACCACGGACACAATGAATTGGTGGTGATACTTACCAAGGACACGATGAATTGGTGGTGATACTTACCCCGGACACAATGAATTGGTGGTGATACTTACCCCGGACACAATGAATTGGTGGTGATACTTACCACGGACACAATGAATTGGTGGTGATACTTACCACGGACACAATTAATTGGTGGTGATACTTACCAAGGACACAATGAATTGGTGGTGATACTTAACATGGACACAATGAATTGGTGGTGATACTTACCCAGGACACAATGAATTGGTGGTGATACTTACCCCGGACACAATGAATTGGTGGTGATACTTACCACGGACACAATGAATTGGTGGTGATACTTACCACGGACACAATGAATTGGTGGTGATACTTACCAAGGACACAATGAATTGGTGGTGATACTTACCACGGACACAATGAATTGGTGGTGATACTTACCACGGACACAATTAATTGGTGGTGATACTTACCCAGGACACAATTAATTGGTGGTGATACTTACCCAGGACACGATGAATTGGCGTGGATTCTGTTCTTTCACATAAAGTTTCTCCCTCAATATGGGAATAAATGCTCGCAGATCGAAGGCAGAACTTTCAGTTACAATGTCCTATGGAAATATATCACAAGATAATTGAAAAGATTAAATATCGATGGAATCGATGGAAAGTTTGGAAGTAAAGAAAAGTTCAGATATAAAGGCCAACTTACAATTATTATAGTAATGTGACGTTTTACATTAGATTGGAGGACAAATTAACACAAAATTTTACTGTGGCCTGTACATGTTGAGAGTAGGTTTTAATATTGTTATGAAATGATCCTGATTCTTTTCTGTTAGAATAGCGTCGGATGCACTGTCTTTTCTGTTAGAATAGCGTCGGATGCATGTAATTGATATAAAGATAATACATTAAATTAATTTTGGATAATGTATATCGCCAAAGTATAAACAAACATTTTTTAGGATAATGTCCAACTGTTAATAAAGGCGAAGCGATAAAAAGAAGGAACTGCGACACACAAGGGACAAAACGGGAAAAAATAAAGTAGAATGAGTTCTTGTAAAGGTGATTAATTTATCTGAAAGAAAACTATTTAAAAGTTGAAGTTGATTTATTATCTACTGTAAAGTTTTATCCAACTCTAGAAAAATGCAATAATGAAGAACTTAAGGCAGACAATTTAACATCTGCCCAAAAGTTCGGGTTAATATTTAGGAAATGTCATTGATAGTTTACAAAAGATTCTTTAACAACATGATAACCATAAACAAGTAAACAGCAATCTGTCTTACAGACAGAAATGCACTTAGGATTATTTCAGATATGATACCTCTACTATTGTGAATGTATACATACAAAATGTACCATGCTTATGATGTTGAATTTTATACCTCACTACTGCAAGCGACAATTTTTATGTTGAAACCAGTAGACTAATCAAGAAGCTAATAAAGACGCAGGAAACAAGCCTATATCATAAGGTTACAGATAATCTTGCCAATTTTATGAATCAATCCACCAAAAAATTGTTGAGTAGGTTATGAGATTATGAGATTGTTTGGTATGTAGGTTATGAGATTGTGTGGTATGTAGGTTATGAGATTGTTTGGTATATATGTAGGTTATGAGATTGTGTTGTATGTAGGTTATGAGATTGTTTGGTATATATGTAGGTTATGAGATTGTATGGTATGTAGGTTATGAGATTGTTTGGTATATATGTAGGTTATGAAATTGTTTGGTACGTAGGTTATGAGATTGTTTGGCATGTAGGTTATGATATTGTGTGGTATGTAGGTTATGAGATTGTGTGGTATGTAGGTTATGAGATTGTTTGGTATATATGTAGGTTATGAGATTGTGTAGTATGTAGGTTATGAGATTGTTTGGTATGTAGGTTATGAGATTGTTTGGTATGTAGGTTATGAAATTGTTTGGTATATATGTAGGTTATGAGATTGTGTGGTATGTAGGTTATGAGATTGTTTGATATATATGTAGGTTATGAGATTGTTTGGTATGGAGGTTATGAGATTGTGTGGTATGTAGGTTATGAGATTGTTTGGTACCTAGGTTATGAGATTGTTTGGTATGTAGGTTATGAAATTGTTTGGTATATATGTAGGTTATGAGATTCTGTAGTATGTAGGTTATGAGATTGTGTGGAATGTAGGTTATGAGATTGTGTAGTATGTAGGTTATGATATTGTGTGGTATGTAGGTTATGAGATTGTTTGGTACCTAGGTTATGAGATTGTTTGGTATGTAGGTTATGAAATTGTTTGGTATATATGGAGGTTATGAGATTGTGTGGTATGTAGGTTATTAGATTGTTTGATATATATGTAGGTTATGAAATTGTTTGGTACGTAGGTTATGAGATTGTTTGGCATGTATGTTTTCATGACTTCATGGGATTTTCATGGCAATTTCATGTTTTTTGTATGGATTGTACTTCCTGTAGTGTTAGGCCAGAATAACCTGTTTAAAGGATTGTGTGGTATGTAGGTTATGAGATTGTTTGGTATTTAGGTTATGAGATTGTTTGGTATGTAGGTTATGAGATTGTGTGGCGTGTAGGTTATGAGATTGTTTGGTATGTAGGTTATGAGATTGTGTAGTATGTAGGTTATGAGATTGTGTGGAATGTAGGTTATGAGATTGTGTAGTATGTAGGTTATGAGATTGTTTGGTACCTAGGTTATGAGATTGTTTGGTATGTAGGTTATGAAATTGTTTGGTATATATGGAGGTTATGAGATTGTGTGGTATGTAGGTTATGAGATTGTGTAGTATGTAGGTTATGAGATTGTGTGGAATGTAGGTTATGAGATTGTGTAGTATGTAGGTTATGAGATTGTTTGGTATTTAGGTTATGAGATTGTTTGGTATGTAGGTTATGAGATTGTTTGGTACCTAGGTTATGAGATTGTTTGGTATGTAGGTTATGAAATTGTTTGGTATATATGGAGGTTATGAGATTGTGTGGTATGTAGGTCATGAGATTGTTTGGTATATATGTATGTTATGAGATTGTGTAGTATGTAGGTTATGAGATTGTTTGGTATATATGTATGTTATGAGATTGTATAGTATGTAGGTTATGAGATTGTTTGATATATATGTAGGATATGAGATTGTTTGGTATGGAGGTTATGAGTTTGTGTGGTATGTAGGTTATGAGATTGTTCGGTATATATGTAGGTTATGAGATTGTGTAGTATGTAGGTTATGAGATTGTGTGGTATGTATGTTATGAGATTGTTTGGTATGTAGGTTATGAAATTGTTTGGTATATATGGAGGTTATGAGATTGTGTGGTATGTAGGTCATGAGATTGTTTGGTATATATGTATGTTATGAGATTGTGTAGTATGTAGGTTATGAGATTGTTTGGTACCTAGGTTATGAGATTGTTTGGTATGTAGGTTATGAAATTGTTTGGTATATATGTAGGTTATGAGATTCTGTAGTATGTAGGTTATGAGATTGTGTGGTATGTATGTTATGAGATTGTTTGGTATGTAGGTTATGAGATTGTTTGGTATGTATGTTTTCATGACTTCATGGGATTTTCATGGCAATTTCATGTTTTTTGTATGGATTGTACTTCCAGTAGTGTTAGGCCAGAATAACCTGTTTAAAGGTTTTAATACTTTTAATCCAGTTGACCTTGAAAATATGGTTGAAGGTCATTTAAAAAAAAAAAAAAAACACTTAGTAGTCCTTCATCCTGGCATGTTTCTTACCAATTATTATCAAATGGCCCTCCAGGGTGTGATTAGGCATTCATGTTGATCCACTATCATAAAAGCTTAGGAACAGGACTTAAAACAAATGGTATTACAAATTGCTGATAGATTACCTTGATAAGTCTGTCTAGAAGTTCTGTTCCATTCTTGACATTCTGGTCAGTATCGGATGAAAGCTGTCAAAACAGGAACATTTCTTAAGTAACATTTACAATCATGATGCATAAATTTTCAATTATTTTTCAAATTCATGTTATTTTTTGGTTTTTACATGGAATCAAAAATGCCAGGAGAGCTAAAAAGGTAACTGTTGACAGCCACCTTGCTGGTGGAAGTTGCAACTTGATTCCTCACAGAAAGATGTGTAGTACCAAACAAACCACAAACAAATAACCATTGGACTGGTTCTACATCAATTAAATGTGATTACTCAGTGACTCACATCAGAGCAGCCACCTTGAATCCTGAAATTTAAAAGTCGACTTTTTGTTATGAAGTATATTCCCTATGTATCACTCCCACAAAGTATCACCAAAGGATAACGCACTCGCCTCTCACCATGCAGCTGGGGTTTCACTCAATGATTCCCTCAGATCGGACATGAAAAGGTATGGGGTCACGTGGTTTTTTTCTGGGTATTCCGGTTTCCTCCCACATGAAGACACCCCCACCCCCAATGTACAAACAACAATGCCAACAAATGTGATTAATAGAAGTTGTAAATATTTAACAATTTAGCCAGCCCAGAGAACTCAAGATATATCTGTTATTTTTCTCAAATACCCAGAGATCATGATGGCGATCTAGAATCCCAAAATTTAAATGAATTTCTCATGACGCTGAGAATTATTTTGTTTTACAGTGTTCATCGATCAAATAGGTTTGATCTGTGTTTGGTACAATTTTTTTCCATGTGGAGGTTTTTGATTCAGAAGTTGTCAAGATTTGAAGGTGTCAAGAACTGTTTTATACCTTGCTCAGACCATCAAAGATCTCGTTGAAGTAGGGAAGCACAAATCCACGACAGACTTTTGAGATGTTGTACAATGCTTCACAGGCATAGTACCTGACCCTGCTGTCCTGATCACTGAAGGAGTCCAGCACTGGCTTGACTAGCTCCGCAACATAGTTTGTGGACTCCTAACAATAATAATAAGGTTAATATCATACAGGAAAAACATACATTCATAAATAGCATACATTTTCTGATTAAACCAACTGAACAAATGAAGTTAAGACACACAAAACATTTTACAACACATATACTACACAAGATCTCAAGTGTGACAGTTTTGTACAGTTCTGGGGAAAAATAATATTTCAGTCATACTTCAAAAGCTTGAAAGCAGTTGATACAGAAATATCCCTCTTTTTTTCCATAAATGTTTTTGGAATAACTGTTGTTCAAATTTTGTAAAGTAAATTCAAAACTTACAAACTTCATTCCTTGTTATAATACTAATTATTTTTGTAAATTGTGATGACAAGTAAATCTCTAGTCATGTTATCAGCATGTGTGTATTTAAGCATTGAACTGTTTTTGTATGGTATTTATGATCTATTTGAATGACACAGCTTTGCAAGCAAACAACATAATGCACGCAAGCGTGTTCCCCCACCTGCAAGGGTGGGTGGGTAACAGCAGGTGTATTCTTTTCCCGTTCCCCCTACTGCAAGGTTGGTGGGTAACAGCAGGAGTATTCTATTCCTGTTCCCCCACCTGCAAGGGTGGTGGGTAACAGCAGGAGTATTCTTTTCCCGTTCCCCCACCTGCAAGGGTGGTGGGAAACAGCAGGTGTATTCTTTTCCCGTTCCCCCACCTGCAAGGTTGATGGGAAACAGCAGGTGTATTCTTTTCCCGTTCCCCCACCTGCAAGGGTGGTGGGTAACAGCAGGAGTATTCTATTCCTGTTCCCCCACCTGTAGGGTTGGTGGGTAACAGCAGGTGTATTCTTTTCCCGTTCCCCCACCTGCAAGGTTGGTGGGTAACAGCAGGAGTATTCTTTTCCCGTTCCCCCACCTGCAAGGTTGGTGGGTAACAGCAGGTGTATTCTTTTTGAGATCCCCACGTGCACCTGCAGGGGTGCAAACCGGAGCCAGAACAATCTCTGTAAGCCGGCCAACTGGCCTCCTACTCATGTAGAGCCACGTGCTTGGTGATATAAGGAATAAAGTCAATATTGTGTTTTGAATGTAAGGATAAAGGTCTATGATTTTGTGGTCAAATGCATACAGGTAGTTGTTAACTGGAATACATCAGTTATGATACACATTGCAGAAGATGCAAATGTACATATGAATTATACCTCTGAAATTTCTTCAAAAATGCATAAAATCAATTCCCCGCTTGGAAAAAATACACATCAACACAGCTGTAACGCTTAAGTGCAGTTTATTCATGATCCATAACACTCAATAAATAGGAATTCATTTATGACAGAGTCCAATATGGTAGCAGTCATTCATTGTACATGTCATTGCCTCGCGTTACGAAGTAAGGGCACGATCCTCCGCAAGTGATCAACTATGGTATATATATGTATAGATGGAAAAAAAATACTGAAAAGTTTCACAAAGATGATAACAAATGTAGCACTGGTCTGTAATAAGTCTGGTTGGATTCCTCTAAAAAAGTAATGAAAGACCACTGAAAGAAACTAATAGAAAGTTTGAACAGAATTCAATTTGATTCCGGTTGTCAGAAATGGGTGAAAAGTAATCTTTCTTTTAAACAAAGAACTGCTTTAAGTTCATTACAAAAAGATAAAACTATAATCATTAATATAAGGAAGCAGGCAAATGATTGACATGTTGGGTAACAATGAATATCATACACTTATTGATTCTAACGTTGATGATGTTACCTGTAAGTTTATCAATAATTTAGTCATGAAATACAAACCTGTAAGTTTGGAGGAAGAGAAAGACTAGTTAACTTCTTTTGTTCATAAAAAAGTTATTAAGTTAGTTTTATGATTTGTCAAAACTACACAAAAGTGTTATCATAGGTGAAGTTATTGAAGAACAAAAAAGTGAATGGTACTGTACATGTTAAAAATCCTGATGATTTAACGTTTAGGCATGTAGTTGGTGGACCTGATAGTGTCACTCAATGACTTAGCCATTTTCTTGATATTATTTTGAAACCCCTCTAGATCTGCTCTTCAGTATTTTTTTTATTAAGGATGATTTTGATTTTCTCAGCCTTGTTAGTTAGTATACAAATATACCACATGATGGAATTGAGGCAATGACATATTGGCTTAAGAAATATCCAAACACATTTGTGTTCGGTTATTGTGAAGACATGCTGTATAACATATGCTATTCTTGTGTTCAGTTATTGTGAAGACATGCTGTATAACATATGCTATTCTTGTGTTTGGTCATTGTGAAGACATGCTGTACAATATATGCTATTCTTGTGTTCGGTTATTGTGAAGACATGCTGTATAACATATATTATTCTTGTGTTCAGTTATTGTGAAGACATGCTGTATAACATATGCTATTCTTGTGTTTGGT